TCTGCTTTCCCTGTATGCACGAACTTAGTCTGAAAGCCTGCCTAAGAAGGTTAAACACAGTCCAAGAAAACTCCAAACGGGCTGAGTCCACTGCCCCGGAGGGTCGCTCCGGGGGGGGGGGGGGGGGCTACCCATGTCCATGCCAGGGTAGGAATGATTTCCAGTGGGCGCAAGTCACCGCTGGGCTTCTCCAAGGGGTTCCCTTGGACCCCAGAGCACTTGGATGTTCCCAGCAGACGCAATGCTGTCCGCCGCTCGGGCTCAGGCCGGTTCTGCTGGAAAGCGACGGTCCCCGAACGGGGAAGCTGGAGCTCCCCAGGAAGCGGCTCTGTGGGGAACCCCGGGCAGCGGCTCCCGCCGCGAAAAACCGCGCTCAGGGAGGTGCTTTTAGTGCTGGGGTTTGACCCCGAAAAGCCCAGTCGTCCCAAGAAAAGTGAGGCTTGTGGAGATTCTTCACCTAACGCGGGAACTGTCCGCCAGGGTATTCATTGACCCTGTCTAGAAGAGGGGCTGTTAGGAGTCAGGTTTGAGAATAACCTTTGTGGTCATGTAGCGTAGAGTGGGATGTCTTCCACCAGTAAGGGCTCCTGGTGGCTCAGGAACGAGCCAAGAACTGGGAGCAGGAGAAAGCGCAGGGCCAACAGAGCCATGTTCAGGTTGTAGAGATGAATGTGTGGTGCCTGGGTTGCTGCTTCTGCAAGAGACACTGCTTGTGTCCACTTTTGCCTCCTGCTGCCAAGTGTTGTGTCTGTACTGGCAGTCTTTTGATATTTTTCTGCAACTTGTAAAGAGCGTTGTCTGGGAAAAAAAAAAAAAAGGAGTTTTCATCTAAAAATAAATCTGTAGCCCTTGCAGTTAAAAACACAACAAAACAAAACACAACAAAACAAAAACAGCTGACAGAAAACGAAGACCTGGATGCACTATAATAAATCAGAAATCAGATAAGAATGTCCAAAATGTAACTTTTGCAACTGTTTTGTAGGCGGATCCACCTCATGTTTTGACCTGAGGCACAAAGATGGAGAGGCTGACATGAGTTTTTCAGCATTTGCAATTGACCATGCTGCTTCTCTCTGCTGCTGCTCCAATCTATCAGTTTTGTTTAAAAAACTGGGGGCATTTATTATAAATGGGTTAAAGTAGGAAAGAGTCTGACTTCTTGAATTTTTAGTTTTTCTGTTAACAAGAAGCATGACCTAATCCAAAATTATTGTAACTTGTTATAAAAATTCAAAGTGGAGAAATCATTTAATCTCTTTGCAAGTAGAAAACCAGTTCACGAATGGATGCGGAGACCGCAGAATCAAGGTCTGCCAAGTAGAAATCCCATTTTGCTGCCGATTTGGCAAAATCAACAGTGTCCAGTTAGCTAAAAAAAAAAAAAAAAAAAAGAGCTATGCCAGCACAGAAGACTCAAAAACCCCTAGAAGATTCACGATCTCAAGTCAGCCCAAAGTAGGAACCGGCGATGAGCAGCTGTTTCACAGCTATTAACCATGAGAGAAGTGAACCTGCGTATTTGGCTAGCTCAGAGCATGTGAACAGGCATGATAAGTGGTGGGGATTAGGGACGTGAGAAAACAGCCAGGAGAAAAAATTCCAAGGAGCGGTGGGTCCCAGCTTGGAAGTCAACTGCTCGGGTGAGAAATAAAAAGAGCCAGAATTTATAGATCACAGTTTATACGTAGCCGGTCTTGCAGAAAGTTTAAGAGAGTTTTAAGAGAGGAAGAAAAAGCAGATCATCATGCCCAGGCTAGTGCAGGTGGTGTTTGAGAGAAAGCCTGGGAGCAGACCCGAATTACTGCAGAGGTTTGCTGATGTTAAAGGTGCTGCTGGCTTGCACAGCAGGACCATCGTGAGCAAAGCGGAATGGCAAAATCCATGGCAATTCGCAATAACTTAAATAAAGCGATATTAAGAAAAGATCAAATTCCTGCTGGAGCCCAGGTTGCGTTAGCAAACACTGCCTCTTCCTTTCCCCTCTCTGTCTGCAATATTAGTTTTGTACTGCCTTTCGGGCCATGGAGGGAACTTTATTTTTCATTTACACGAGAAGAGCAATCAGATGACCTTGGTGACAGATACCAAGTCATGTTTTGGAGACTACATGCTGAGCAGCAATGCTAGGATCCCCACCAGCAGTATCATTTTCCACAGCTTATCTCAGAGGAAGTAAATGCACGAGCTGCTCTGTGCTGGCCACAGCAGGACTCCCAAGCGCTGTAGCACACCAGGCAAACTGCGTTTTAAAGAAAAATACCACAAGTTCTTCATCTGGTAGGCCTGGGAGCTAGTTGTTCTGTGCAGAGGCTCAAAGAATAACTGGCCAATGTGACCCGAATGCACAGCAGGGTGGTACGAGGTACCCTCTTCACAGCATCTGAAATGCTTCAAGCTCCTCCTGGGTCTCCGAAGAAAGCCAGGGGAAGGAGGGAGTGCAACGGGTGGCCACCCCCATCTATGTGGGCTGTCATCTGCTCTGTCCTTTCTTGGTTAGTTTCTCATTAAAAACAGGTCAGAATGAGTCAGTGGCCTGAGGTGGTGACACTCTGCTGCTGAGGTGTGATAACTGTTATTTTTCTGGTCGTAAGAGCAATGCTTCAGGTTGCTGCTTACCCTATAAAATGTATTTGCTCAAACCATTGGGGCTTAACACAAAGAGCTGTGAATAAACAATATATGTAAGAGTATACAGTAGAAATTTTGAAGTCATGACTTCTTGCTGATGCCTGGTTATTATTCTAGCTGAACGCTTACTTGATACCACAGTTCCCTTCCTAGTAGCTGGGAAACAATTCCCAGGTTTTTTTCAGTCATATTGCCTTCCTACCAGGATAGCCCAGATTCCAATCCCAACATCAGTGTCCAGCCATGCAGGAGAGGTTACTACAGCACCCTGGGAAGGGAGCTACAGAGGAAAACAGCCAGTCCAGAGGGCCTGTGCAGCACACATCTCTGGGATTTTATCACAGACCAGCTCTAATCTGGTCCTGTGGGCCGAGTGCTCATCTGTGGTTGAAGTGATCTCCTGGATAAGTTTCCCCTGTCAGGAATGCAGCTCGCACACTCTGGGACTACGTTGCAATGTGAGCCACAGTAAGAGAGGCAACCACAAAATTAATTTTAAAGTCTGTTCTTGATCCAGATGAAACTACCAGTCTATAGATACCTAGAGATGACGGGTGCCTTACCCAGGGACTGAACTCCAGCTCAGCATCCCGATGCTCTCTAGCTGGAGAAACTGGAGGGACAACAGGAGCTAAAAAAAAAAAAAAAAAAAAATCACTGCTAGCCATCTGTGCTTCTTCTTATTTCTATGTCTGTCTGTCTCTACAGACAGCAAATGAAAGCTTCTACTTTGCATGTCAATATAATTTCACTTTGCCTTCACTTAAAATTCATTTCAGTTTGAGCTGAGTGATTTCAGGCTGGCTGGCAAACTACCAGTATCTCATTCTCTAGGGAGCAGCAGTCCCGGCTGGGACCGTGAAAGCAGGGCCCACCAGCTGCGGGCGAGGTCCCTGTGAATGTGGGGCACGCGGGGCTGTTCTCCACGGGGGCTGGTTTGAAGCAGTGAAAGGCAGCGGGGAGCTGGAGTGTCACTGGCATAGCACAGGACAGGGAACACCCAAGCCCTGGTTGCCTCTCCAAAATTAGCATTCTTTCCCTTCCGTGGCATTTTCTGTGGACTAAATCTGTATGTCAGCTCATGTGAGAGCTGCAGACATGCATCACCCTTACAGGTGTTGGCTCAGAGATTAATTCAATAATAAATATTATTCTGTTAATTATATATCTACTGGGGGTTTCCTAAAATATCAGAAGCTGCTGTGTAAATGCCATAGTTCTCTAGATAGGTTGTCTCACACCCTGCCTCCACCTCTTTCCCATTTGTCTCCATCTTGTGAGGCACCAAGCGCACACAGGTGCTGGCCACCCTCGCGCCTGGGGATGCTGAGGACAGTGCAGTTCTGGAGCTGCGATGCAGAAGGGGAGCTGCTGGGTGTAACTCAGAAAATAAATTATGCAACTCAGTCTAAGAAATTAATGAAGTAGTAGCAAGTAGGGCAAGATTGTTTTGAAATAAGAACGAATTATTATTATATACTGAGCTGATTATGCATCAGGTTGAGACATACAGAATGGGTGGGCTATGCTATAGCTGGGAGAAGCCAGGCACACCGCCAGCCCCGTACAATGTGTGTGTTTGTGTGGCTGGTGGCAAGCAAATCCGACTCCCTCTTCAGAGAGTACTGTAAATGTGAGTGGGATCTGCCAGATGGCAGGCATCCGGAAAGACCCAGGGAGAGAGCAAAGCATCGCCGCGTTGTGCGTGGCAGTAAGCACACTGGGTCTGCCCACGGATGGAAACCTGGAAATCACAGCCCTGCTGCAAGCTCGTGGGAGGACGCTGACAGAGTCAGACCCCAATTCCCCAACCTCCTCTGCATAACTGAAAAGTCGGGATGAGGGTCTGGATCGATCTCATCTTCTAAAGTTGCACAAATCTGGAGGAAATAGCGAGCCTGGATGCGGCTGAGCTGCTCTTGGTGCAGGGTGCACAGGAGGGCTGTAGGAAGACAAACTGACTTATAGTGCTCTTGCAGCTCATTAGCTCTGGAGCTAATTAGAGACTGGATCATCCTGTAGATTTTATCAGAATAAAATTCCAAAATCAGAAAGCACAAGGAATGCAAATGTGTTCCCTCTTCCTCCTCTTCCAGCTTCCTTTGCTTGTCACTCTCCATGGGCAGCCACAGGATAAGATATCCTAGAGCTGATGAATGACAATGTGGGATAGGGAGGCGGAATTTTTACGTAGCTGTTTTATTGGTTGCGTTATGCTACTACTTCCAAAAATGTAATTCCATGGAATGAAGACAAGAATGGCTGGAAAATAAAGCTTTTTATTTTTTTTTCCCCTTACTGCATCCAGTCTGTATTTGACTAAATTTCTTGCCTGTTTGCAAAATTTTTTGTCTTTTTTCCCTTTCAAGGCAAGCTGAGGAAACAGACAGCAACGTGGGGATTTGTGTCCCTGTCCTCCTCCTCACCTCACCTGCCTTGATTCAGGAGACACGTGGGCAAGGACAAGCTGCAGCTCCTCAAGGAGAGGGGGCTTACTAGAGACTTCTGGATCAACCCACAAGTCTCTGTGCAATGTATATTCTGAATCGCTCCTCTGTGAGATAAACAGGGCCAGTCTGAGACCCCTGTCTGGGTCCAAGTGAAAACATGTAGCTCAAAAAATTGAATTTTATTTACACCAATGGACAAACCTGTTTGGACAAACTGGTGTGTGTTTTTGAAGCCAGATACTGATAATTTTTCTGAGTTCCACCTTACTCCAGTAACAAAAAGACCTAGCAGAAACACCAAAATTTGGGTGTTGGGCCTGTAAGGAACTGAAAGAGTTATTAGGGCTGTGACAGATTTTAACATCTTCTGTGCAGCAGATCTTTAGACCACATTGGGGTGTGTATATTTGTCAAGGATTGACAGAAGGGTGCTTTGTTAAGATAGGAGGCTCTTCCACACTGCTGTGATATAATGGGTTGTTAGTGACTTGTCAGTTCATGTTTTCAATTACTGTTATTACTGTTATCTTAAAACTGTGGGTGTGTTTCTAAAATTGCTTTATATCAGATAATAAGTATACTCATTCTTCAGTTACAGTAATTAGCATTCTGAATTTGATTCTGCCACCTCGATTGCTCCAGGAGCTGGGACTGGTTACCGCATACACAAAGCTCTTAGCTCTTTTCCCTAAATAGATTACAACCTCCCAGTTTTAACTCTTGATGTCCCGAAGACCATCCTTCCCGCCTCTGATTTTTCCGTGGTTCATTCCTGTCATTTCTTCAGAGTTTCTCTCCCACCAAATGATGCATCTTGCAAAGGAGTGCCTCTTTTTGACTGAAATAAAAATGCAGTCCCTAAGCAATTCCCATCCCTTGGCATGCTGCTGTAGAGTACATTTACTCGAAGCGTCTCTAATGAACAGCTTCTGTATTAGCCTCTCCTGAGCGTCTCTTACATTTCCTACCAATTGTGCATGCATTCCCCGGCCCCGAGAGGAGACACTTCTGGCCATTGCCAGGCTACAGCCTGGAGCAGCCTGAAAATGCCATGCATGTCCATCTAGCTGAAAACAAAGCTGGTAAAGCAGTGGGTAGAGTACAGAAAAATCTTGCTTTTAAAAACTGCTGGAAAAAAAAAAAAAAAAAAAAAAGTTGTCTCCAAACTAAAAAAAAAACAAAGGAGCAGAGCAAGTCAATAAGAGCAAACAGAGGGGAGGATTCCATAGTGTGGCACTGCTGGATGCAACCACAGCTTAAGGTATATTATTAAACCAGAAAAATGTTTTTCTGAAAAACTTACGGTATTTCACTGGAAAAAGCTCTAAAGGGGCATTTCAAAGGAAGAACAAACCAAAGAAAGAAAGAAGGGAAAAAAAAAAAACCTAGACCAGATGAAACCTTGGAAGATGATCCACAAGGACTTGCAATAAACAGAGGAAAAGAGATTAGGTTATCTAATAGAAGTGACTGAGTATTTTTAAAAGCCTTGTTAGGATGGTGCATATGCATTTTATGGTCTACCTCCTGTCTGGGGAATACAACTTTCTCAGAGAGAATCAAAATCTGCCTTTTTAATAATAGGGAGATACCTAAAGCCCTGAAACTGTGGCACAGCCAGCTCTATTTAACCAGTAAACTGTTGTCCTCCTCACTGGACTACATTTGCATATCATTCAGTAGCTAAAGCCTGTTTGCCTTGTTACCCAGAAGTTTTCAGCTCACCTATTGACAGACGAAGGATCTCGGCTGGTTTTCTTACAGCATGGAAATAAAGGAGCTGCTGGCAGATATTCATTATGACAAGCCATCAGGTTTGAAGCTCACTTCACACCTCGGCTTTGCCATCAGCCAAGTCCCTTCACCTTCCAGGCCCACTGCAAAGCCTGTGCTTTTCTCACCGCTGCTGGGGGGGGGTTCTGTCTGTGCAATAGCTCAAATTTCTCGAATAGAAAAAGTATCCTCCATTTAACTGCCAATGTGGGGGGAGGTGAAGTGGCCGTATTGGAGCGCAGGACAGAGCCAGGTCTGCCGGTCGCTGCCCGGGTGTGTTTGCACACAGGACACCTTGCTCCAAGACAAAGCTGCAAACCGGCGTGTGGCTTTACTAAGGTGCAGAAAGAGCCAAACTGACTTTCTGTTAAATGTGACAAGGTTAGGACATACTGGGTTTGTTTTTAAGGAAAAAAATATACAAATGATCCTATTTCTAGCACATTTATTTGATTTCTAGCAGGTCTACTTGTAGCGAGTGCTTCCACCAACACTAGGCAATAGCTCCCACACCTACCAATGGTCCACTTACTGCGTACAAGCAACACATCCTCCTTTCTGTGGTAATTGGGTGTATTGAAAATGCAAACAGTAACCAGATAATAAAGGTGAACTCAAACCCCTTCTCCTGTCTTGCCTGCTGCCAAGGGTCACACTGTAGACGTGCTGAACTCAGACGCTTTCCCTTGTTTTTTTATGTGCTGGGGACACCTGCCCTGGGGTGCAAGAAATGCCATGGAAGCCATTTAACTCTCCCCCGAAGGCTTCATCCCAAAATAAAGCCCCTGTCTTCAGGAAAACAGTGCCAACCCGTTACACACTGCTGTTGAGGGAGATTGTAGCTCATTAAGATGCAGTGAGTCATATGTTTGAAAATGTTATTAAAACTTTTTTCAATCATTCATGAAATCTCTTTTAATGCAGTATAAAGCTTGATAATGTCTGTGGTTGTACTTTGACCCGATGAAAGCTCTGAATGGAAACTTATACAGTAGGTAATATTTACTCTGGCAGTCTGTCAGTAGGCAATGTCGACTGCTTTTATTGCTCTGTGGAATAAAAGTTTTGAATTTTGCTCTGTACTGAACCATTTATTGTCTTGAAATTGGCAGCAGTAACACCCAGCTGGATGCCAGTATGTTTTGTGTTTGTGAACAGGCTGATCCATGGGAAACAATCTAGCAGACAAATCAACTTCTTTATGAATTAAACAAAATCTTCACTTGGGTATGAGGCATTTGAGCCTGCGGGAGCTATTATTTTGGAAAAGGCCCATAAAAGGACTTTTTAAAACATGGACTTTGTGAGTCTTAAGTATGATATTCTTAGACTGCCTTTAGTTATGCCTCGCTTTGCATAACCCTGCAGACTTTTATAAAACAATATCTTCTATGTAAATGGTGTTGGGGTCCAAAGCTCTGAGTTGAAAGTCAAAAAAGAGCTCGGTGTCTGGCCAAGCTGTTGAGCTGCTCAAACTATTCTTCTGCCTCCCACCTTTTTTTCTGCCTGTCCCTGGGACGGGAACTGCCATTTCCTATCTGCTTCTCTATTGCATAGCACCAAAAAATTCTTTCTTATAAGCAAAAGACAGAGGTAGAAAGTTTACCCAGAAATAGCTGAGTGCTCAGTACCAAAAATAAGCATAGCATATAGAGATAGTTCTGTGTGCTTAGAGCCAGTCCTATCAACTCTCACAATCTTGTGAATGTCATGGGATCTGATATTTTCTTAGTTCTCCGCCTGATGGTAATCGAGAAACCACATGATAATCTTGACTTCATTAGCACAATTAAAAAATCACATGTAAATTTCTAGCTTTGTGGTTGCTGCAAAAATATGAAACAAGACAGCCTTAAATCTTGAAGGTAAATGAAGTCATCTGATGGTCATTCTGACCCTTTATTCACTCCTCCTAGGTTAACATGCCTAACGTTTCTCAGCTGCTTCTTAGACATGACCACACAAAAAATTGGTTCGTCATGAAAAATCCTGTAACAGTCTTTGCTCTCAACCCCAGTCAGCCACCTTTATGATTTTTTTTTTCTCCTTTACAGGTCCAAAAGTGTCTGCTGACAGTCAGCCTGCAGCAAAGTGCACTGGATATTCTCACAACTTACACATGGCTTGTTCTCTCTATAGCTTTAATAAAGGGCTCTTGCTCTTCTGCTTTCTTAAATGCTACGTGCTCAGGCTATTGCACCGGTAGTCAGTGGAAATAGGCTCCATTCCTGCAGGCTTCCCACATAACTTTGGGAAAGTCACCGTAGCAGTTCCTCCAATTTTTCTGGATATGAGGATAATCATATTTCCTTTCCTGGTCTGTTTTAGGCTGCAGATTCTTTTGGACATATCTTTTCTAAGCACATTTGTATACAGGGCCATACCAAACCACACTTTATAACCAATTTACTTCTTATGTCCCTTGTAGCAGGTTCTGGGATTCAGGTTTCCCTCCTCCCAGGCTAGTCCAGAGGAGATGTGACCACGGGAAGGAGCAGACACTGAGCGTCCCCACCGCTCTGCACAGGCCACACGCCGGCAATCTACAGCCTGGACACTCATAGCTGAGTAACCTTGCACTGGGTTCCATAAAGCATGAATTGGGAACAGCTTAAGGTTGTTAATGCTGCTGTGAATCGTGGCTAGCATGACTAACCATTCATGGACATTTTTTAATTAAAAAAAAAAAAATAATAAGGTTAACAAATTTCGTATATAATCCGTGTCAAAGAATATGCTCTGGGCAGGACTTTTTTTCCAGTGATCTGGATGATACTGTTCGCATTTTTGTAGCACAGCTTTCAGAGATGGGCAGGCACATTTTAGTCACGTGACTTTTTCTGGACTATGATAAGCTTTCAAAGACAGACTCGCTTTCCTTATTCTTTCCTTGAATTCTTATAGCTTTAAGATGTCGCCTTTAACCGTGTTCCAGAGTTTGAATGCTTGATATTTTCAGGAAGAAATGTGAGAAAGAAAGAAAAACATAATAGTTTCCGATCATCAAATATTTCGGGTGAGTCATTCGCCTGCATCTCTAGATAAATGCAACAGGACATCCTGTAACCATTGTGCAGTTTCTTTAACTTCTAGGTTTTTTTCCCTACAACATAAGTAGTGAATTAGGGAAGAAAGTGGCAGTGGAGTCCTGTCCAGGCACTCCTCTTCCCTTGGATACTTCTCCCACATCAGGAGAGGGAAGTCAGTTACCTCTTAGGGTGACTACCCACCTCGGTACTGAGATATATAGATGGATTCTGGTCTCCTTGCCAGTGGCAGGGAGTCCAAAGGCAAAGCCTTTTGAGGGAGGTTAGAGAAGCTGATGTTATTTTCCTGACCCTTTTGCTTCATGGAGGAGTTTCTAGCATCAGAGGGAGTGTGTAGCTATGAGTCTTCACTGGAGCTTTCCTGGAAAAGACCTGGAAGGGGGGGTTTCTGTGCCACCAGTCCTTTCTCTCACCCACAGTCTCGAAATTAATCTCCCCCCTTGCCAACTTTTTAGCTCTTCCATGCCAGTAGAATAATTTCTAAGAGATTTCTCTTCTTTCTTTTGGATGCTGTTAAAGGGATACAGCTGACCAGAATACCGGTAAGAGTGGCGTAACTGAAGTCAAACAAAACCTTCTTCCAGCTGCAGAAAACAGTAAGTCAGAACACAGTAATTGTGATCATAGAGTTGGCATATTTAAAGGTAACAGAGAAAGAAGGAAAAGTTGAAAAACTGATGAAAAAAAATGCTTTATTCTTTCTACTCTATCTTCAAGTACAAACAGAGTTATCAAAAGTCAATTTGATCTTACCCAAAGGCCTTGGAAAAAAAAAAAATCTGATGTCAGGTAGGTAAACATCTAGTCAGAAATCTTAGAATAAGACTCAGAGCCAGTTTGCATGTGTGTCTGTATACATACATAACCACCAAAAATTAAACAGACAGCTTTATGATGACAGACCAAGTGAAAGGGAATTAGGGGAGAGATAACAAATGAATAAAGCCTAACTTTCAGTAATAATTCCTGACAGAATTTCGGAGGCATGACTTCACATGAAATAACTGCAATCTCCTGAAATCCATCCTCCTCAAAATCTCTTTTCAAGACTTGTCCCTACTATGACACTTAGAAGCTGATGAAACTGGAATGGTCACGTGTTACTGAGGTACAGAGGATCTTATTTCATTTTTCATTACCTCTTATTATATATTCCCTTTACTTAGCATCGGGAAATGCCTTTCTGTGTTTACACAGTACATAGCAGAGTGGTCTTCAGTTGTGGTCATGGTTTCAAGAAACCTCATTAATAATTACCTGGAGCCAAATTTGTCAATAAGTAAGTCTCAAAAATTCATGACCTGACAGTAAAATGAGGAAAAGTCAGTGTTTAACTGCTATCATGCATGTTTAATTGTGGCACTGTTCCTCCTCTCGCTTCCATACACCCACAGCCTCAGGAGACAGAACAATAAAGCTGAGGCTCCTTGGGTTCGTTTCTATTTACATTAACGTTTTCTCCACGATGAGAAGTTCCCCGTATTTCTTTTACACACCTCCCATCTGCACTTCTCCCACTCCCTCATTCTTTGAGTCTTTTCCTGATCTAGTCACAGGCATACGGCAGCAGGCATTAGGTTCTTTATATTGGCAAACTTTTTTTTCCACTTTTCAATCACCGATTCTCCTGTACTCTTCTAGTGCCATCTATTTCACAACTGTTTTTGTCAACACAACATCTTCCATTCCCTATCTGCTTTCCACATCAGATTCATGCCTTAAGTCTAGACTGGGAAGTCTCTGGGGCAGGGACTGTCTCTAGGTTGACATGTATATATGTTTACTTATCCTCAAAAAGCCCCGGCTCCAAACCTCAAAGTCCTGTTACAGTAACGAATGCTGGTGTATGTGAAAAAACTTTAACCTATTAATTCCAGGAACCGCTCTAAACACTACTTTCAAGACTTGACCAAAAGGTAAAGGTTACTATCAATTTCTTCACAACCCTCCTAACCCTTGAGCTCTTCTTTCATCCAGTTTAAGGCTCTGCAGCCTCTGTTGAGGCTGTTCAGCACTAACAGTGTAGAGCCTTTTCTTTTTCTCCCTTTTAATTGTGATAGCCTTCCTGAATAATTTGCATTTTCCCTGCTTTTCTTCAAATATTACCTGAACCTTATCTTCCTCTTCTAATAGTTGTCACACTATTGTTTTCTAACACCTTTGATTTAGTTGGCTTAGTAAAACATGTTATGAAAAATACCACAGGAAATAAAGTGTTCTTTGTTCCACATGGTATTTTTATTTCTGTAATAGCTGGGAACTCTCTTTAGTTTACCCACTAACCTGCTTTCAGTGTTTGTTGTCGGTGATTGTGGTATCACTTTTCTATTACGTTCTCATCACCTAATCTGGTGTAATCACTGTAATCCTTTACCTGTGTTTGTACTCCAGAACACACCTAATACACCAGTTTAGGGTTGTACTTGTTTCCTTTATCTATGATGACTGACGCAGTTGAGCAAGTTCACAAAATAGTGAGTCCTTTCTGAGGAGTTAATTGAAGTTTTTCTAAATTGTCACAGAAAATAAATAGTGAAGCTAGGAAGGGAAAGAGGGTTTGTGTTATGCTGCTGTTAGTTTTTACATTTATCATTGTGTTTATTTATTTTTGTAAAGCCTGTTTCATAGAAACATAGAATGGGTTGGGTTGGAAGGGACCCTAAACATCACCTAGTCCCACCCCCCTGCCCCGGGCAGGGCCCCCTTTCCCCAGCCCAGGGTGCTCCCAGCCCCGTCCAACCTGGCCTTGAACCCTTCCAGGGAGGGGGCAGCCACAGCTGCTCTGGGCACCCTGGGCCAGCGCCTCAACACCCTCGCAGTGAAGAATTTGTTCCTCATACCTAATCTAAACCTACCCTCTTTCAGATACAGAAGTCCCTCCCCACCTCTCCTGTAGCCCCCTTTAAGCCCTGGGAGGCCACTATAAGGTCTCCCTGGAGCCTTCTCTTTTCGAGGCTGAATAACCCCAATTCTATCAGTCTATCCTCGTAAGGGAAGTGCTCCAGCCCCCCATCATCTTCATGGCCTC